TGGCACCCCGCCACTTCCGCCTCTACGGGCGGCGGGGAGGTACGCGCCTGCTACCGCGCGTGTGCAGGCGCGGAGGGAGAGGCCTCCCCTCACAGCGCTTTGCCTGGTTGAGGCTTCTCTGCCTCAACAGACAATATATACCATCTGCCTGGGTTTAGGAGTGTGTGCGTTCTGGAACGTACACAAGCAATATATATTCTCTGTGCGGGTGGAAAAGCCTCGATGAGGTGAGGCAGGCGACGCAAGGCGCAGCGAGGGTTTTCCCGCCGTAAATAGTCCGTATCCGGACGGAAAAGCCTTGGTGAGGCAGGGTGAAATGAGGCAAGGCTTTTCTGTCAGCACGTGGAGCGCGCACTATATATTCCGTGTACAGACAGGCCTTGACAAGGTGTGCCGGCGTGACTGGATTCGTGACACAAGGCAAAGCTTTTCAGTCTCTGTATAGGATATATACTATATATTCTCTATACAGAAAGAAAAGCATTGGTAAGCCTCTCCTGTCCGCTCCTGTTCACACGTAAAGGATCCAAATCCGTTTCTATTTTTACTTTCCACAGTCATTCACACACTAAACCATGCTAATGTTGACCGTTTCTGTATCTGCCTCTACCACCTATCATCTATTTTTCACTCAGACCCTACTCAAGACTAGATTCATTGCTCAGGTTCTTTTATTCATTCTGTAAGCAAGTAGAAAGCACAATAATATATAGTGGTGATCGCAGTGGCTATCCTGCAGGCCACGTCCAAAGACACTGAGTCGTCTTCACTTGTCTTACGTATTTGGGTATTATCCCTGTTTGTACGATGCTTTTTCTTACCAGCGATTATGCATCTCCCTGGCATTAAATGTGTGGTTAATTACTTTACCTGTATGCTGAGCATATGGTTCAGCTCTAACTGTTCCTGTTATTTGTTAGAAGTATGCAAGCCATCTGAAAATATAGGAGAAATTTTCTATGTTTGAAGGTTTCTTAGCCTGCCCACCTTATCATACCATACAGAGGCATCTTGCATAGACCTCCATTGGTTCTTTGGTGGATGGTGGACCCTTCTCTGAAAGGAATAATTTGTTTTTTGTGTCCTAGTAAGCTAGGGCAAGAAATAATAAGCTCAAAATGAAACGAAGAAGTTCAGGTGAGCTATTAAGAAAAGTAATTATATTAAGGTAGTAAAGGGCTAGATGACAAGGGAATGATGTGATGTTTCCATTATTCAAGGACTCTAAAGAAGAAATAGACAAACACGCTGACTGTCACACTGTCCAGCTGCAGTGCAAGAGTGACATCCTGAAGTCCCTTCTGAACTTACATTGTTGTGATAGGGTTAACAAATTCCACTGTTAATATTTGTTCTTTCTTTTTTAGAACCTATGCTCCATCCCAAAGTATTTGTGTGAAATACCCAATAACAATGGAGTTGAGAAATAAGGATAACCATGAGGTTTGCCATTTCATTCTCAGTTTTGTTTTAGAAAGGGCATGATGCTTGGTTGTACTGCTGTTATCCTTTTGCACAGCATGCAACATGTAGGAATCTGTATTTTAACCAAGGTTTTTCCTTTCCAAAATCATGTTCCCTGACTCCTTAATTTTACAGTGAGACCATAAATATATGTCCTACATCACAATCTGTGAAAAGTATTGCAGGATCTATAATTAGTATTACAATAGGAGATCAAGCATAAAGAGAGTGTAAATGACAGGAGAAAAAAACTTAATGAAACCACAGTTCATAACTGACAAATATTAAAGACACTACAGGAAACACACAGATGACACAGTTTAATTTGATATATTTGAAGACTTCCACATTCAAAATATCATTGTACTAAAAGCAAGAAGAGGCAACTGGGAATTTTTTCCATTATTTTGAATGCTTTTACAAAACCTTTCACACAGCTTAATGAATTATTTTCTACAAACAACAATTATACTGTGGTTAAACCCATTCTTTCCTAGGAAATACCTATACGTTGGCAGCTAGAACACAAACCCCTAATGGAAATCCACCATAAACTCAGATCCATTAATTTTGTTTTCCTCATTTATAATGAATCTGAATGTATTAGCAGGAACTGAGTATTAAATCTATGTGCAGTTAATGCTGTCATGCAACAAATAACATATGAGCTGGCTCATGTAGACCATTTCTTCCACCAAGTCTAGTTAGAAATTCTTTATGGTTCTGAGGAATGAGGAAAAAGGCTATAATGCATGTGGCCACTTGTGCTAAGCTAAGAAAAACCCCAAATCTAGATTGTATCATGCCGTGATATTATTCCCTGATGTGCATAGTTCAGTTTTCCTTGTGTATCTTCAAAGTTCCCTAGATGCGTGTATGACTGTTCATAGAATTCTTTTATCTTTTATTCTGTTAGACAATTGTTTTAAAATAACAGACATGCGTCAATCATTATGCACCAATCTGCAAAATACTATGTCTGGGCCTTGATTCTGCAGACATAAACTATTTTGCTAACTGCCCTGAGTAATTCTGTTGTTATCAGTACATTCCATGTCACAGATGAGAAAGAATTCTATATTCTGTTTGCCAGCTGGTGAGGTTTAATTATGAAAAATGTTATTTTGACCTTTGGTAGAGTAAGTTAGCAATGACACAAAAAGGTCACTGTGACTTGGGTTTGAGGAAGCAAAATATAAAAGTGGATTTCATTAACTGTAACTTGATAAAAGGGGTATTAAATGTCCAAACTTAGAGAGCACAGGTTAATTTTTAGCACTTTCATTAATTAATCTTTTATTTGTTACTTCCTACTGATGATGTGAGATAAAAACTCATTCCTATGACTTCACAGGGAGGAAAAGCTGGGAACAAAATCTGTTTAAACTGAGTTAGAAATAATTCAAAATTAGGTGCTTTTATAATCTACCTCAACAAAATATAGCTGTTCATCCCCTTAGTTCAGTTATAGATTTCAAATTATTCTACTGCTTTTATTACAGGAGGTTGGGCTACTTTAGTATAAAGTAATAAAGCTTCATATTTTCACAGAAGTCCCAAATTATATTCCCATCATTATATTTTGATATGTTGCCTGTAATCATTGTACCACAATTGTTTTCCAGAATGAGGAAAATAAATCAAGAATCTAGATGTCACTCTACAGAATGCCTCTATTTGGGTGACTTCTGCATTTGACTGAAGGAGAAATGGCTGGATCCACTGGCTGAGGTCTGTGCTGTACTTCATTTGTACCAGGCTAATTAGTGTAAGACACCCTAGGGTGGTCATGCTCCATTTAAAAAAAAATCTTTCACAGATGTAAAACCTAACACAAAAAAATAATTGGGCTGTGATGCAGCTCAGCTTTCCTACCCATGCACAAATATCCTTTTCGTTCAGTTTATTTCCTTTATTATTCAGGTAATGCCACTCATCCTTTCTTTGGCTGATGGCATGCAAGAAAAAAAAATCTCTTAAAGTCTGTGGCTGCCTCTTTACTCTCCAGAGCTTCTTTCTTCGGCAGTTTATGTTTCTTCCACCTGCATTTGTCACTGAGCTTGGCTTACAAGCACAGAGGGAGTTTGGTTGCCTGGCCACTTATCCCTCTGAGATTGCTCGAGGACTCCAGAGGAATTCTTTGTCTTGGCTATGAGCAGGGTTTCTGTCTGTCTTCCCAAAACATGCAATGTGTGTTCAAGTTGGGTACACCAGATGGAGTTGTGCTCAATTTTGAATTTTTTTCGGAGATATTTATACCTGTAATGGAAAAGGCCCAGGAAGCAGCACAATCTGCCTGACTGTGGTTTTACCAGCTGTGAGGAAAACCTTGCACATGTGTATGCTATACAGACAATGTCTATACTGGTCCCTGTGCAGACTATAGGATAAAGGGACTGTCACTACCATTACCAGCCAGATGGCACTTCTCCAGCCATCTTTGACTACTTCAGCATCAACAGCAGTCTAACTGTCATCATCCTAGGATGACCACAAATGACGTAGGAGAATGATTCAGCTCTTGTCTGGACCTAGGCTATGAGCTCTGCAAACTGCTACCGCTGATGGGTGTTGGATATAGCTAAACAGTATGGCCTGTCTGTCTGAGACTAAGAGTCAGAGCTGTTATCCCATCTTATAACCTAAGAATGAGTCTCTTCTGTGTTTACGGTCTATAATTCCTGTTATATCTCTTCAAATCAGGAAATACAAAATAAATTATTTCTTAAATAGATACTGTTGATGGGCAATTATGCCTGGTAAGCCCCTTGAGTATTCAATGTAGATAAACATATGTATCTATATCTATATTTATAATACTCTTGGGTGGTTTCATCAGCTGCAAATTTCAGGCTGCAGCATTAGTACTTAAAAATCGCCAAGCAAACTATGGCTAAGGGAGAACCTGCAAGTTGGCTATATCCAGAGATCTAAATATTTTCATGAAATTTTGTACAAAGGGAAACTCTGGACACAAGCTTTTGTGTGACCTTAGAGGACAGCTAAACAGAAGTGAGAGAGGCTGAGGAATTTTTGCAGCTAATGTGCCACATCCCACCTGCACAGGTGTAACTATGCCATGATCCTAATGGGCTGAGCTTAAGGTCATGCAGCTTTTTCAGTTTTAAGCTGTTAAAGTTTTTCTAGTAACTTTAATAAAACCTGTAAAATAAGAAAGCCTTAAAAGGACTATTACTCTCTGGCAGTTTGATATTTTATAGGTTTTCCACTGAGATGTAACAATGACTCATCTAACCTATTGGTGCTCCTTTCTTTTTTTGTCTTGAGGCTGCAGATGTGCTGCTCGCCCCAAAAGCTGACCTTAACATTGCTTCTAAAAGAGCAATGTGGTGCAAACATGTGAACTTGTGTCTAAAATAGTATTTCTATTTTTCAGAATGTCTAAATCACTGATCCCCACTGTATCTTCACATTGAGAATGCTGCAGAAACAAAAGACAGTCCCTCCCCTACATTATACCATTGCTCTGTCTCTGTTATTTATGTGCACCAGATCCTGAGGAGCTCAGTCACATGGTAACACCCTTGGTTTCAAAGGATTTGTCATGTGAATGAGGGCAGTAAGGTAGGCTCATGTCAACGGTAGACCAAACCATCTAAAACTAAAATATGAGACAATTAAGCCATTGAAGCACAATTGAAGCTTAAGGGAACCATGCTGTGGATTAGCAGCTTAATAGGTACAGTAAACGTCAAGGACTTTGCAGTAAGGCTTTAGAAACTCTGTTTTTCTGTGTACATTTGAAACAACATAAGAAGCTGAAATTGCCTCTATCCTTATCTGAAGAGACTGCTGCCCTCTGGAACTAATTGAAAAATTCCTCTCATAGGATGTTTTGGCAATATTGGGAACAGCTTGTCACGAGAATTAAATATTATTGAATCTGGTTGACCAGGGCCTGATTCTGCACTGTGTGCCTTGTCTACTTCTGTGAGACTGTCTGTGGAATAGGCACATGAAACTCCATGCAGGTAGGAAGAAACTTCACTCAAAGGCCTAATATAAAGTGTCACATTCTCCCTTCACAGCCATACAGTCATACTTTTACTCCATCAAGTATTATTTATTTAAGGTCTAATTTTCACTGAGTAGCAGAGCATTGTTTTCAATGAAGGGAACCTGGAGAGTAAAGTGATTTTCACTGTATGGAAGAATAAATTTATTTAATAAAAGCTTACAGACTGCAGGAATGGAAGGTGATCTATATAACATCATATACGTGAAAAAAAAAGAAACAATAATACTCAGCTTTCAATTCAGAGCAAAAACTAAGTGGTAGCATTTACGGAGAAAGACAGTTTATTTCAAAGGTTTTCAGACATGTAAACTGCAAATTAAAAAAAAAGAACTAATTTATGTATAGTTATTCTGACAGCCTTACCAGTCTCGATCTTACTTTGATTTTTTTTAGCTATGGCTTTCTTGAACTATCTGTAGCTTCTTCCCAGCAGTTTCCTCCTAATTTATTTTCATTTTTGTAGTGTGTGATTTAGCTTTAGTTTATTATATTAGTTTATATATTAGTTTATTTTTAGATCACTGACTTCTTTCCGTTGAAATAAGTGGTGACACTGTAATTTCTAATTCACCTGAGCAGGAAGCAGTGTATTAAGCACCTCTCTGAAGCATGTCATTTACTAACCCTGCAACATTTAGTATCCTGCAACATAAAAGAGTAAAAATAAAAATAAAAGTCAGTGATTCCCTTTGAATAGTAAAGTGCCTACTTCTAAATATTTTTTACATTATTAAATGTAAGTTTTCATACATAAAGATCCACTTTTTTTTTGGTGTGATGGTTTTGCTTTAAAAAGAAGTGAAAATAGATCTTTGCTATCTTAGAAGATCAGCTTGTGATACATGGTTTCAACTTGCACTGGAAATAGCACAGAAGCAGATCACACCTGCAAGGACAAAGGGGAAGTATTTTGTTCAAGAAAGTAGAACAATCTGTAACATTATTTTACCAGGTCAACTACTTTTCTGTAGATGCTTAGTTAGGACTGCCAGACACTGCCACATCTTAGCCTATAGTGAATGGCCCCTCCAGCTTTTCTCTCCCTTTGCACTGCCTGTTTAGCTCTTAAGTGAAGTTGCTCTGAGAATCAGATGGAGAACTACCTCCGCTTCACCGACTGTTAGAGCTGGATCTCCTGCAAGGGTTATGCCAGGACGAGGGTTTCTTTATTTCTGCACTTAAACACTTGTATAGTGCATATCTTTCCCTTAGCAAACAGCTTTTTAAAAAATGTTTAGTGCAGAGCTGCAAGCCCACGTGCTTGTCTTTTCCTATAAGCTACGTTCTACCCTCAGATTTTCATGGAGCTTCTTTGACTTCTATGTAATTGCTTTAGTTGTAACTAAGATACGAATTCAGAAACAATTCTAGAAGTAGATGAACATTTGCTGACAAATTATTTATTACGTGAAAAGAAAGCCACTATGGATTGACACCATTTGCAAATTTGAGTCATATTTTCAGTTTCAAAATATTTACTTTAGCACTTTTGACAGTAGTAGAATGTAAAATAAGAAAGGTGATGAAAGGACTGGCAGCACCTGAAATGTAACTAGATGATTCATATTGGATTCAGCTCCCATTGCCTCCCTTTTTTCAGTTGAAGCCAAAAAGCCTTTTGTTTTCATATCAGGTTGACCTAAACAATCTATTTATCTTTCATTTTGACCAGAAGATCAAACCAGACATTTTCTTGTTCTAATATTCTTGTTAAGCAACTATTCTGCTTCAGACACATATGCCCAAAGTTAATCATGTATTTAAATGCCTTTCAGATTAAGGATGTTAAGCGTGTGTTCAAGTGTGTTCCCGTCTCGTTTCTGAGGGCAAAATACTGACAGAAAAATCAGCTGCACAGGCACTGTTCCTCCAGCTTAATTTTTTGTAAGAGTGGAGATGCATTTATAGGAGATAAATTAACTCCATGTGATCTGAGGCCCCTGAAACTGCGAGCGCTCATTCACTGCTGAGAGTCTGTAGTTGTTCAAGAAGCAGCAACAAAGCAGCACACGACCGTTTGCTTTCCAGCTCTAGGCTAGACTTGAACAGGACAGCTGGGGTTAAACTTTGTTTCCATGGCCAAAGTTTCATGCTGTTACCTCCCATAGCTGTGATAGCTTCTGTTGGTCTTGTTGTACAGTGTGTTTGCTTTCTCATATGGCAGGGTTGTGTTACAGAACCAAAACAGTTATGTAGGTGTGTAGTGGAGACAGGAGAGATATGAGGGACCTTTTTTCCTATTTCCTTAGAAACCTGGGGGCAGCTAAGAAGCCTATGCTCAAAGATTTTATTTTACTGTTCTTTCTTGAGTAAACAGATCTGTAAAGACAGCTAGTCAGACATACAGAGGAATACAAATAAATTGTCCCCTGAAGAAGAAGAGCAACAGGCATACACATTTCACAGCTACAGGAGCCATAGCTAAGAACCATTCTGATAACTTTGAACATGACTCCATCCCTAAGATTCACATTTAATGTGCCAAGGTGAGTAGAGCTTACTCACTGTGCATTTCAGTTAGAAAAAGCACTGATTTCTGACAAATGCCAGGCAATAATATTACATTTCTTAAAATAAACTGTTAATTTTGTGAAAATTCATAATTTAATTTTGGAATTTAAGAAATGAACATGTGATTTACTAGAATTTTTCATTTTGTATTTTTCCATTAGTTTATGGCATGTCAGAAGTGGTGGGCAATATGCCAGTATTACGGGGCGGTGAAATACCAGGAGAATCAATTGGATGTACCATATTTGAAGTAATGTATGTTCTGAAGCAACATCGCTAGTGGTACTATTTGCTAATAGTAGATGCCTTTACTGGTGTAGTGTAACAGATTGTACAGTAGTTTAGAGAAAACTGATTGCAGAAGCACTGCAATCTCTGCAGTGGCTTCTTCCTACTTCATAAAACACTCAGTCAAAGATAATCCTATTCCCTTTGGGTACAGTATCTTCCTTGGGCTTCCTAGGTGGAAAAAGAAGAGAATCAGTTTAGAAATCTAGCCTGGGATACTCCTGCCTAGGGGAATTCCAGGTGATGCAAGGACAGTATAGTCAGCTTTATATTGCTCAGTCTCATTCAATATAGGATAGGAGAGGGTTTTTTGCAGGGGAGAGGAGAGGAGTGGAATGGGGAAGAGTAGAAAGCTGCTGGTCCTGGGCTTCAGGATCACATAAACTCTAAGACACCTCTAATGTTCAGTTCTAATGAAGAGTATACTGTCGTTCTAATGAATTTTCTGAATTCTACCTGTTTAGGATCAACAAGTTTTAAGTGCTTTTCAGTGCTCTAGTACACTGTAAGCGGTATTTTCTCTGCCTTTGCTGCCTAGCGGTGGAACCACTCTGTCTTCATTTTTCCCCAAAATACTGTCAGTCTGCCAAGCCTTTCTATATTAATCTGGCTAAAAATCAACATTAAAATGTAAATGGTGAATTGTTTGAGGTTCACATATTTGGCTGTTATTGTCTGGCCAATGGCTCTAAACTGTTGTTTTTCCAGCCTGCAAGCCCCTTGAGGGCCTTTGTCTCCCTCAGTGTATTGTAAATGTCAATCACACAGAGAGTACTCAAGAAATAAATAATACTGTATTTGTTACTGCTGTATGATGTTACCCTTGCCAGAGAAATTCTAGTGGAGATCTAAGCCCATGCAAAGCAAGAAAACTAAGGGCTCCTCTTTATCTATGCAGAGGACAGGAAACCATATGAGATCAGATTGCTGAACAAGTTAGATACTACTTCTTTGTTACATTTTTACCACTGCAGTTTGAATACTTGGTCTGTTTTAAAGTTCTTTAGCAGGCTGCAGGGAAAACGATAATGAAGCTCCGAACAGTTATGGATTGGGGCAATGCAAACATGGATATAATGACCAGTGTTAGGAATGAATTAAATGGGCAAGTTTTTTTCAAAATAATGGACCTGACTTGATTCAGGAAAATGCCAGAATGTATGCCTGACACTTAATTTTGACTTCAAGAGGAGCTAAGCAGGTGCTTAAGCTGCCTTGAATAGTGATGGTCTCTTGAATATGGGCCTTTTGTGCTGTGCTCAGAGCTGGCATTGACCAAAGGGAATTCAGTGGGTGTTCGACAGCTTGGAGGATTAAGCCCATTCTGTGAGTAGTGAAAACATTTTACTTGGTTATGGTCACACTGATGAACATAACTCCAGCCTGCTAACTAAAGATTAGGGCTGAAATGCTACAGTGTCTGTGCTGCGTTTGGTGTGCTGAAATGCTGTGGGTCTCTCTGGCCTTTCTAAAGAAAGAATTGAAATATGCTCAAATTTCTTAGCAAATGGCTGGCTGTCTAGAAGTTATCCACAGTATTTCTATAATTTCCTATGTGCATTTTTTTTCAGATAAAGCAAAGAATAGGCTCTTCATTCTGAACTGCTTATAAAGTAAGAAGATACCTTTTTTATGCTGGTTTATGCTGATATAAATCAGGAAGTCAGTAGCATTCCACTGATATAAATTAGAGCAAAATTAGACCTGATACCTGATTTGGGACATGGAGAAACCTTCCCACAAAGGAGCCTTGGAAAGGGTCATTGGAGTAACCTCAACCTGCCTCTCTGCAGCTGGTGGGAAGGATTATGACCAGTCCCAGCTCCCCAGTGAGCCTCATTCTACCAGAGCCTTGTACCTCAAGTGGCAGTGCTTACTTCAGCAAAGGTAAATACTGCTGTTTATCATTAGTACCAATGTCTGATCCTGTCTGATTCCTTATCTTTTCCACAAACAAATGGAAATGTAATGAAACAACAGAAAACAAAAATTCTGTCACTTGTAGGGAAGCTGCGTTCAGTTCATTTCCTACTGAGAAGAGGCACTATGGCCACTAGGAGATGCTGCTGTACATGGAATACACTGAACACTAATAGAGGGAAAAAAAGGAAGAAATACTTCAAAACACACTGAACCATGGCACATTTTTTTGTAGGCATTTAGAGAAGAAACTTGAGAAAGAAATATGTACAAGACTGTTGTGTTGAGTGAAACAGTAAATCACAGTTTTCAGTAGTTTGGGAGGACTACTTTAGCACTATAAAAAAGGCAGTGCCTTTTAGTTTCATATAAATTACTAAACCAGGAATTTGCTTCTCTGATCTAGAATATTGACTGCTGGGATTGTGGTAACAAAAAGTTCTGTGTTTCTGTGTGTGGAAGGGTTTAGCCTGCTCAGTAGCATGACTTAAACATATATTGAAAAACCTTCTAGGATAAACTGAAATTAAAATTTGGGGGTGCAATTAAACAGAGAAATTAGAAATACTCCTGGGAATTCAAGTAATGCTATTTTCTCTGTCTGGACAGAAACCTGATAGGTTTAATGGTGATTCCAGTTTGAAACCAAGGTGTTGGAAAAGCTTTTCCTGGAGCTATGTTGAAGGACTTCCAAAAATATGAAGATTAACTGCAAACTCCATTTATGTGTTTATATTTGCTTGTCGCTGTAGCAAAACTCCAGATGCTTTGTAGCTTTATCACTCTCTGCAGTGATGCCGGATTCCATGAGTGCTTAAATTGTTCAATTGCCATTAGATATTATTGTCTTCTGCTGTCTTGTTATGATTTCTGCCATAGAATGAAGAATGTAAAAATTAGTAAAACAATGTAGGATTTTTATTGTACTTTGGCAACATAAATGGATATTCATCTGCAGGGAGCACACTTAACACCAGCAATCTTTTCTTAGTGCCTTTCTTGACATGTTCACTCAACTCTGAGATATTTTTGAATGCGTTTGTGTTTTGTTTTATTTTGTGCAGGGTAGTTCTGGGGGTGGGTGGGAAAAGGGATAGTTTCTGGAAGTATTTTGGACAAACAAGTTGCTGCAGTTCTCTTGCCCCCATTTCATAGAATAAGACTAACATCTCCATACTTGTGTGGTTATTTTTAGATACCCTATTTCCATATTTAGTAAATGCAGTTCTCTGCATTGCTGAAAAATAGGCCTTTTATTTGGGTACCTAAGTATATAGATTTTAATATCTAGAGTACTATACAAATAAGTAGCTCCATTTCCAGTGATACTCAACTCTCTGCACATTTATGGACCCCTTCCCCCAATAGATTTACCATATTGTGTACCTAAAGCAACCTTACATTTTCGTAGGTTCCATTTTAGGGAAAGCATCTTCCTCAGCCATGGCGCCTACTGCTCTTCAGCTACCCTTGCTGCTGCTGCTCCGACTTTTGCCACCAGGTTGCACTTGTTGACCCTGGGCTGCTGAAGGCAGGCATGGCGACTACTGTCTGGCAGCAGAAGCAATGGGAAGCAAGACATCAACTTGTGGCAACAACAGTGTCATGAGAGGTAGGAGGGTATGTGGGGAGTGGGAGTCTGATGGTCCAAGGAAGATGGAAATTGATGTGGAGAAGGGGGCATGTGCATTGCATGGTACAGTTGATATTTTCGCGTGGGTCAGCTGTAATCAGGTATTACAGCACAATTCCAGGTCAGCCTTGCCAGTAAGCCAACTGTAATTCAGTGGTACTTTGCAGGGAGAAGACAGGGAGGTAAATTTACACTGAAAGGATAAGGAGGTCCCACCATCAAAACTTGATCCTGGATTGTATCAGTTTCTGGCTGCTTTTCGGTGGAAAGAAAAGGATGATCTTAAGACACATAAACGGTTTGCAAACAGATGGAAGACTAGGCCTTGCTACAGGGAGCGCAAAGTCTAGTTTAGGCAGAAGTCATTGATACTGCTTTAGCATAAAGCGGGTGCAGATGTTGTTGGTGAACAGAGGAACATTGGAAGGCTATCAAAGGAAATGCATTTAAGGAGGGATTTGAAGGAGGAAGTGGCAAGAGCTTTGCACGTGAGAGGTTATGATGAAATGTTTCGACTTGATCCATAAATGACAGGACAACATTCAGAACAGTCTCACCAAACAAATCATAGGATATTTGATCTGCAAGTGTCAAGCCTGAAAAGTCCCTTGGCTGCTTGTGAGCATTTCACAGTGAATTCTTACAAAAGATAATCTTAAATGTATGCCCTCCTTTGGAAGGAGGATTAACAGTGCTCCTAGGAGTATCAAAATGGGTGACATACTCAACTGAACAAGAATCTTGACTGAATCACAGAGAGTGAGAAAGATACTAAAGATAGTGATTGATGCCAACAGTGCTCTTCTTGTAAACAGGTCCACTTTTATAGGAAGCTTTTTGTGTAGAGTTAATTTCAAAGCTAGCACTGGGGAAATGGAAACCCTTGTAATGTGCAAATCCTGGTATCTTCAGTGCTCAGAGCAATCAGGAGCTTATGGAGCTGAGTCTGGACACTTTTCCTGTGTCTGGTAGAA